TGCCCCCTGAAGAATCAGCTTCTAAAAAACACCTAGAAAATCTAGATAAAATACAACCAATTTTTTTTTCATCTTTTCAGTTTTTTTTTTTAAGATTTTATTTACTTACAGAGATCACAAGTAGGCGTGGGGGGGGGAAGCAGGCTCCCCGCTGAGCAGAGAGCCCGACATGGGGCTCGATCCCAGGACCCTGAGATCATGACCCAAGCCAAAGACAGAGGCTTTAACCCACTGAACCACCCAGGCACCCCTTTTCAGTTTTTTAAAAAAAGATTATTTATTTATTATTCCAGAGAGAGCAAGAGGGAGAAACAGACTCCCCACTGGGTAGGGAGCCTGATGCAGACTTGATCCCAAGATCCTGGGATCATGACCTGATTCCAATGCAGATGCTTACCCCACTGAACCACCTGGGTGTCCGATCTTTTCATTTCTTTTTTTTTTTTTTAGATTTTATTTATTTGACAGAGAGAGGGAACCCGATGTGGGGCTCGATCCTAGGACCCTGAGAGCATGACCTGAGCTGAAGGCAGAGGCTTAACCCACTGAGCCACCCAGGCACCCCCCATTTTTTCATTTAGATAAGAAATCAATCTTTCGGTAAAAAGTACTGATCGTGAGTATATATAGCTTGGAGTTTACATGTGTATGTACCTATGGTATAACTATCCAGATGAAAGTATGGGACATTTCCAACACTCCAGAATGTTCCCTCATGTACCTTTTGTGTGTCTTTAATATCAATAAAATGATGGATTTAGATATGGCAGCTGGGGCACCTCAGTGGCTCAGTGGGTTAAGCCGCTGCCTTCGGCTCAGGTCATGATCTCAGAGTCCTGGGACTGAGTCCCGCATCGGGCTCTCTGCTCAGTGGGAAGCCTGCTTCTCCCTCTCCCACTTCCCCCTGCTTGTGTTCTCTCTTTCACTGTTTCTCTCTCTGGCAAATAAATAAATCTTTAAAAAAAAGAAAAGAAAAAGAAATGAAAATGGCAGATGTTAGCTGGGATCTTGTCAAACTAGCTTCACCCCCTCACCTCCAGACCGAAATAAGCTCTACACCCAGTGTAGGGCTTGAACTCACTACCTCAAGATGAAGAGTCACATGCTCTACTGACTGAACCAGTCAGGTGCCCTGTCAAACCAACTTCTTTTTATTTTTATTTATCTATCTATTTATTTTAAAGATTTTATTTATTTGACAGAAACACAGCGAGAGAGAGCACACAAGCAGTGGGAGTGGGAGAGGAAGAAGCAGGCTTCCCACCGAGGAGGGAGGCTGATGTGGGGCTCAAACCCAGGACCCTGGGATCATGACCTGAGCCAAAGGCAGACACTTAACGACTGAGCCACCCAGGTGCCCCTATTTTTTTTTTTTTAAGATTTTGTTTATTTATTTGACAGAGATCACAAGAAGGCAGAGAGGCAGGCAGAGAGAGAGGGAAGCAGGCTCCCTGCTGAGCAGAGAGCCCAATGTGGGACTTGATACCAGGACACTGAGACCATGATCCATGCCGAAAGCAGAGGCTAAACCCACTGAGCCACCCAGGCACCCCTCAAACCAGCTTCTTAAATTGGCCCCTTTGTCCCTGTCTAGAGAGGAACCTAACATGAGTGGCAATTTAAATTTTTGACATGACTATGTGAGCATACACATCCCCCAACCATTTTTCTTAAGGTTAGGGACTTCATTATTCTGGGTCCAGCTTTCAGAATAGCACTTAGCGTGACGTAAGTGTTTTAATGGAAAGTACAGGGATGCCTGCGTGGCTCAGTTGGTTAAGTGTCTGATTCTTGGTTTCAGCTCAGGTCGTGGTCTCAGGGTTTTGAGATCAAACTCTGCTTCGTGCTCCGTGCTCAGCAAGGAGTCTGCTTGAGAATCTTTCCCTCTCCTTCCCCTCTGCCTCTCCCCTTTGGGTGCTCTCTCGCACTTATAAATATTAGCACAAATAAGTCTTTTTTAAAAAACAAAATATAAATAAATACTAAAATGGGGGAATGAAGTACTGCACTTCATACAATTGACCTTAACATAGGAAGGGGCTAGCAGTGTGGTGACATTAATTCCACCTGGGGTGTGCAGGGTGTGGGGGGTGTGGGGGTGGGGAGACAGTCAAGGATAGTTGACAGGTTAGAAACAAGGAAAATGCACTATAGAGTAGTCAGATGTTATCAGGTCGATGTTGTTCCTGGTACAACACTGCAAGAGTTTTTTAAAAAAGGGGGCACCTGGGTGGCTCAGTGGGTTAAGCCTCTACCTTCAGCTCAGGTCATGGTCTCAGGGTCCTGAGATCGAGCCCCACATTGGGCTCTCTGCTCAGCAGGGAGCATTCTTCCCCATCTCTCTCTGCCTGCCTCTCTGCCTACTTGAGATCGCTCTCTCTTAGTCAAATAAACAAATTCTTAAAAAAAAAAAAAAAAAGGAGCTGGTAAAATAAAGTTAGAACTCATGGGGTGCCTGACTGGCCCGGTACGTTGGTAGAGCATAACACTTGTGCTTGGGGTTGTGAGTTTGAGCCCCACATTGGGCATTGAGTTTACTTAAAAAAAGAAGTCTGAGAACGAGAATTGGGGGGTATAAGACAAACTTTCAGATTGTTTTTACTTGCTAGGATATTTTTGCTTTGAGGTCCTGGTCTTCCTCTCCCCAAAAGACTAGGAAGATCTTGACTTGTCATGGTTGACTTGCTTAGGTTTCAGGAACTTTGAATTAGAGGATTGCTGATAATAAAGAACCCTGGAGCTAGCACCCTGTAGGGACTGGATGGGAATGCAGTATCATCCTTTCTTCTCCCCTTACCATGTCAGCCTTAATCTTCACAACATCAGCAGATGGAGCTGCTGCCTTTTCTCACTCTTCTTATCCCTTTTATGTAAGATATTCTCTAGTTTCTGTCTTCCTTTTCTCAGCATCCTGTGACACCCACAACCACCTTAGGCTTTTGTGGTTTTCAGATAGTTCCTTAGGAAATTATAGACAGGTCAGTAGGCAAGCTGTTTGTCCTCTGAGTGATATCAAGCTAGTTTTTACAGAAGGCCTTGGTCCTAGAGTGGAGTTTGGCCAGTAGTTGAAAGTTCTTGCTATGATAGAACATAAATTATAAATTGGCATTGGAGCTGATACTTCTGAGCTCAAATTCCAGCCCTGCTAGTGGCTGTGTGACCTCAGGTATGTCTGTAATTTCTCTGAACCTTGGTTTTTTCATCTATAAAATGAAAAAATTTGTGTCTTACAAGGATATTATAATGACTACAAAATAATTTATATAAAATATTCTGTACAGTAGGTGTACCTTACTGGCTCAATCAGTAGAGCATGCAATACTTGGTCTCTTGAGTTCCAGCCACACGTTGTGCATGGAGCCTATTTAAAAAAAAAAATCCTTGGGCGCCTGGGTGGCTCAGTGGGTTAAAGCCTCTGCCCTCGGCTCAGGTCATGATCCCAGGGTCCTGGGATCGAGCCCCACATCGGGCTCTCTGCTCGGCAGGGAGTCTGCTTCCCTCTCTCTCTCTGCCTGCCTCTGCCTACTTGTGATCTCTGTCTGTCAAATAGATGAATAAAATCTTAAAAAAAAAAAAAAAAAATCGGGGGCACCTGGGTGGCTCAGTGGGTTAAAGCCTCTGCCTTCGGCTCAGGTCATGATACCAGGGTCCTGGGATCGAGCTCCGCATAGGCTTTCTGCTCAGCAGGGAGCCTGCTTCCCTTCCTCTCTCTCTGGCTGCCTCTCTGCCTACCTGTGATCTCTGTCTGTCAAATAAATAAAATCTTAAAAAAAAAAACAATCCTTTATAGTGCTTAGTGCAAGTTCAGTAAGTAGTAGTTACTAACTTAATGAAACCAAATGAGTAGTTATGCTTAGAAAGCTCTTGTAGGGGCGCCTGGGTGGCTCAGTCGTTATGTGTCTGTCTTCAGCTCAGGTCATGATCCCAGGGTCCTGGAACTTTCAGATAGCCCCACATCGGGCTCCCTGCTTCTCCCTCTCCCACTCCCCCTGCTTGTGTTACCTCTCGCAGTGTCTCTATCAAATAAATAAATAAAATCTTTAAAAAAAAAAAAAAAAAGCTCTTGTAGCCTCAGAACTCAGATGTTGATGATCAAAGGATAAAGTTCTTTAGTCCAGTATCTCACCACTTACCTCACCATTGTTCAGTATTTTGCCACAAGATGAATACATTCATCAGCCTGATTTTGTCTTAAATGTATAAAATAGACATATATCCTAGATTGTCAAAACTTTATAGTTGATGTTGCAAAGAAAAGCTTTTCATATATAAGCAAAAACATGATGTCTCCTTATTGTTAATGAATATGTACCAAGTGGCATTGAGGAAGCAACAAGGTCTGTTGGTACATGGTAGGGTGGAGGTGGGGAGCTGGCAGACAGTGCCTGCCAAGTAGAGTTTGATGAAGAAGATGGGGGCTTTTGGAATTTTAGCCTGTACCTGCCCAGGTGGGAAAGCTTTGCCTTGGTAGGAAGGTGAAAGGAACACTTCATTTTCTGAGACCAAGTGAAGTTGCATTCCATGATTACCTTCTGTCTGCAAGCAGTAGCAGGCAGTGATACATGTACACAGGTGGTTGGGGGATTGTGCTGCTGTCCTATGTCAGTGAGGGTAGGGTTACCTCTCCTCCTGGGCCACAGGCTATGGGGCAAGCAGGAACCTAAGGGTAGTGGGTACCAAGAAAAGGAATACTGGGTCATTCTAGTTGGTATTTCCTCATCCAGAGATGATTAACATTTCCAAAAAAGTGTCATTTTCTACGATCATTTCTATTTTCTGTACTCTCTGTTCTGCACTGCTGAAATCCCTTCTTCCTTATTCCTGCACTAACCACAAGTAATCAGTCTGGTGGCTGGGGCTTGGGAGGCAACAAATAGCCATTTCTATAATGTCAGCCCTAGAGCAATCACGTGGACAGGGTATGCCTAACCAGAGAATGGAGTTTTTCAGCTTGCATTCATAACTGGAAATAAAGTGCTTTCCTTATTCTCCTCCTGCAGGTCGGTGAGCTGGTAAAGGTTACGAAGATTAATGTGAGTGGTCAGTGGGAAGGGGAGTGTAATGGCAAACGAGGTCACTTCCCATTCACACATGTCCGTCTGCTGGATCAACAGAATCCTGATGAGGACTTCAGCTGAGTATAGCTCAACTAACAGTTTTGCTGACAGATGGGAACAATCTTTTTTTTTTTTTTTTTCCGATTGTCATCTATATAATTTTCTTACAGATGTCAAAGCAGTCTAGTTTATATAAGCATTCTGTTACCTGTGATCTTTTTTAGACTGAACTACATCTCTAGTCTCATTTACCATTTCAGGGTACGAAACTGGAGGGCTCATGTGTTAACTTCTGAATTGGCAATTTTAGGTGGTAGCAGCCATGCCTGAGTGTATCAGAAGGGATGGATATTTTGCCTCCTTTTCCTCAGGTAGTGCAAATCAGCCTGTGGAAAACTGATGGACAGGAGAGGAATATTGCACGCTGCTTACCCTGACTTATTCAGTGGTTTTGTTTTCATTTTGAAATGATGCTATCAAATGGCAATAGACTGTTCCCTTCTACCCCCATGAAGTAATCTTGCACCAGGTGAATAGTAAGTACCCAGTGCGATTGCTTTTTCATTTATTGAACATGACCACTGTATGACTCATTCTGACAGTTCAAATCCTGAGATTTCTGAGGACACTACTAGAGGCATTTGTCTTCCTTTCTAGTCAATGCTTCGTACTTTTTTTGGGGATTCTTTAAATCCTTGTCATTCTTTTCCCCCAAACCTACCAAAAGGTTCATTCTCAAGAAAAGTGTTTCTTTACCTTCTGGATGACAAGCAGATGTGCAGGGCACTTTATTCAGTGCATAGCTTTAAGCCAGTATTGGATTCACTGAGTGGACACCCAAACTCCCAGCTTTCCGCCTTCCTTCAAGGGGTCATAGTAGGTTCACACTGCTACCACAACTAAACAGACTCCTGGCTAATGGGATCCAGCAGGGCCATTTCTCCCGAGTGCCGGTATCCTGTTAGAGGACTCTGAAATTCTTAGCTTCTACTTGCTTGGAGTGGAAGGACCAATCACTTAGACTATTCCATAGATGGTTGTAGGGCCAAATTCTGCCCTTTGCTTTATATACAACTTGTATAAAATAAAAGTCAATTTAAAATTACATGAGTTTGGAGTAGGGTTAGTGCTTTGAAAAACATTTGAACCAATCATGAATTACTTACGTATTATTCATTTTACATGGCCAGAATAGTGCTTGAAGTGCATTTCATTATCAACTGCCTTCATTTTTGGCTCTTTTTCATTGTGTTCCAGTTCAGTTTACAAATCCTTTTTTAAGTATGGAATGGTGTATGTGGGGTCAGGTGCTCCCAAGAACAGACTTCTGAGACCAGAAATGATCTAGGCTATTTAGACTACAGTGTGAAACCTTCAGAGTTAGTTCCCAGTCTAGGAAGGCATTCACTGGTCTCTGGTGTGATATGACCCATGGAAACACCTTCTGTTTTGCTTTGGGCCTCATTTTAGAAAAGTAATGTATCTTTCTAATTGTTTTTACATAGGTTAATGATTAATATGCATTCTTTGAACATACACCAAATCATGGTATCCCAGTGACCAGCACGATGCTTGGCATAGTCGGTGTGCAGGTGTTTGTATGAGTGAATGAGGGGTATGCAGAAGCTCTTTATATGGCACAGGGAAGCCAGCTGACACAGGATTACATACCACAAGCAAACTAATGAGTTGACGCTAATTTAATGTATTTTTACCTCACACTAAGGTAATGCTTGATAAAGACATTAATATTCAACTTTTAAAAGTTAGCACAGTGCAATGCACATAGTGGGTGCTCAATAATATTAAATGAAAAGATTTGCAATACTAGACTTAATTCTCTCTGACTACTCTTAAATTTTCAAATAGGGCATAGATACTGTAAAATCCAAATCCAAATACACATTAAAAATCTCGTTTTCCTGAAAGTATGACATCTAAAGTACTTGTAGAAAAATGTCATCATAAACAGATTTGAATGTTTGTATTTTCTTTTGCCTTTGACTTTGATATTGGCTTGTAATGTCTCTTTTTATCATATGTAATATTAGTGGAACTTCAACTCTACCCAAATCATAAGAATTTTTCAATGATCAGTTGTCCGAAGCCATTATATGAACTATTGGGTTGGATTTGGCTGGGTGTAGCCGTTGTTGGACCTTAATAAGATCAAAGGACTTCTAATAAGTATCTTCCAAAAGCAAATGCTGGAATCCTATTCAAGTGCATATGTACATTGTCACAGAGCAAAGTAAACTGTAATTGGCTGCTATATTTTATATAATTTCTGCAAAACCCCAGTTTTTGGATACTAATATTTGACATGGTTAATTCTTATTAATTTGTTGGAATTGTTTATTGTTAATAATGCAAATAGATAATTTTTAATTATCTTTAAGTAACATTTCACTATTAATGGAATGAAATGGATGGTAAGCAGACCAATTTGAAATAAAATATGAACATGTGCCATTGTATTATAACACTATACACTTTCTTGACAGTTAAATTTAAAAAAAAAAAGTTTTTTTGTAGCATGTATTGTATATGTTTATAGTATATGTAGTAAATAAAAATATGGCCAAATGTTTGGCTTGGTGATCTTTTGAAAAAAGTAATCTTTGAATATTTTTCACAAAAGAGCTAAATCTTTTATGCTTAGGGAATAAGAGGTGTGTGCATTCAACAGCCTGCACACAATCATATAATCAGATAAAGAAGCAATTATACATAATCTGTAGGTACTCCTTAAAGATGAGGTTAATCTTTGGTGATATTTTGAAGGGTCTCCAGAAGTCATGAAGTAAATTGATTTGAGATGAATGTAAGAATGATTATGTAATGATCAAAAAGCTGGAATAATGTGGACACAGAACATCAAATTTGTCCAGAAATGGTTATATGTGGGTGTAAAGAAAAGAAGGATTTGATAGGGGGCTTTATAAAGCAAGTGAGAAATTTAGATGTTAAATAATAGGTTTTCAGAATGTCACTGTAGATAATACAGTGTAATTTCCCCTTTTTTATATAAGTAGCACATTTTCAGAATAGATAATTTAGTAAATAAAAGTTTAAACATTATATTCTTCCCATCGTTTCTCAAAGCATGTAGATACACACACATTGTGACACTATATGTACCTAAAAGGTTGACATTATATTCTAGTTTTGTGTCCTATGGGTGGTGAAGTTTTTTTTTTTTTTTTAATAATTTTATTTTTTATAAACATATATATATATATTTATATATTTTTTTTTTTTCCCCCAGGGTGGGTGGTGAAGTTTTAAAATGAAAAGGATAGGTGAGCCTGACTGGCTCAGTCAAACCATGCAATTCTTGACCGTGGGGTCTTGAGTTCAAACCCCACCTTGGGCATAGATAATTACTTTTTAAAAATGAAATGAAAAGAACAAGCTTTGCCAGTTACTTATACAGTATTCTGCTTTGGCCCCAAAATAAAACATCTCATTACTGCTGTAGACATAGCATATTGTCAACCCAGAGTTAAAGGAATCTCCTCCAAATAGAGCCAACTTTGGCATACACAAGCTTAATAGCAGGGTGACTTAAGTATGTTTCACCTTTTTATCAATAAAAATAAAGTGTTAAAATCTTGTTTTAATATGTTGAGTGTTGGGGTTCCTTCACATAACTTTGAATAATCATACTGACTCTTGTATTTATGACCCCGATTTTCAGATTAAATTCTATTCCTCTTACAGATATGAAGAGAGAAGCCCCCTCCATAGAAGAAAACGTGAAAATAGGCCTCTTAAGTTTGGCAGGAGGAGGCTAAGTATTTGGACCTCTATTGCCTTGCATACCCTGAAGATAAAAAGAAATGGGTGGAGGGCAAATGAGAACTAACCATCAAGAAGTGAGGTTCAGGGGCACCTGAGTGGCTCAGTGGGTTAAGCCTCTGCCTTGGGCTCAGGTCATAATCTCAGGGTCCTGGGATTGAGCCCTCCATCAGGCTCTCTGTTCAAGGAGCCTGCTTCCCCCGCCCCCCCCCCCCGCCTTACTTGTGATCTCTCTTTCTGTCAAATAGATAAATAAAATCTTAAAAAAAAAAAAAAAAGGTTCAGGGGCACCTGGGTGGCTCAGTCAGCTGAGTGTCTGACTCATAGTTTTGGCTTGGGTCATGATGTTGGAGTGTGGGATTGAGCCCCACATCAGGCTCAGCACTCAGTGAGGAGTCCGCTTGAGATTCTTTCCCTCTCCCTCTATCCCCCCCTCAAATAAATAAGTCTTGGGGGAAAAAAAAAAGTGGGGCACCTGGGAGGGTCAGTCCGTTGTGTCTGCCTTTGGCTTAGGTCATGGTCTCAGGGTCCTGGGATAGAACCCTACATCAAGCTTCCTGCTCAGCAGGGGATCTGCTTCTTTCTCTGTTTCTCTCCCTCTTTATTCCCCTCTGCTCCTTCCCACTGCTTGTTCTCTCTCTCTCTCTCTCTCTCTCTCAAATAAATAAAATCTTTAAATAAAAGATGAAATTCATGGGGTGCCTGGGTGGCTCAGTGGGTTAAGCCACTGCCTTCGGCTCAGGTCATGATCTCAGAGTCCTGGGATCGAATCCCGCATCGGGCTCTCTGCTCAGCAGGGAGCCTGCTTCCCTCTCTCTCTCTCTGCCTGCCTCTCCATCTCTTGTGATCTCTCTCTGTCAAATAAATAAAATCTTAAAAAAAAATGAAATTCATAAAAAGAGCCATGCTTGAGGGTCTTCTAGGGATAGAGGATGAAAGCAAACAAAAATGAGCACTCAGGCTGGCTTTTAGTCAAGGGGACACTCCCAGTATTTCTGTGGTTGTCCTGATTTTCTTAGATTTGAGATCTGCATTAATCCTAGAAAAGTGAGCTCTAGAATATTGACTAAATGGTCAAAGTAAACTGACTTGGACAGATTTTTTCTGTCTTCCCACTTCAAATGGGGAAGACTTTGGACATTTAGCTTTCTGGGAATGGGAGGAAGAATAGTTGTGTATCAGACATGTGGAGGTTGACTTGTTCAGAGCCTCTGTTTACTTGGGAAAATTTTACGGAGTTTCTAGCTTCATTTCAAGCTTGTGGGCTTCTCCAAGGTTCTGAGTACCTGCAAAGAAACTAGGAAAGTAGAACCCTGAGTTGAGATGTAAGATGGGCTTCTCCTCTCTTAAGCCAGGAAAGTGAGTGAAAATGAATTTGGTACTATATAAGGGTATAATACTGTTTGTTGGATACCTTTGGGCTGCCCTAGTGTTCTCCATGATGCAGGATCGAGCTTCCTGGAGTTGCTGTGCTACTTGTGCAGGTTTTCATGCTCAGTGCTACCCCCCTCTTGCCCTGCCTGCAGGGTTCCCATGAGTCCTTAACAGTTGGAAGCCCTAACACAAAGTCTTGGCTGCCTTGGCTGGTGTTGCTCCAGGGTCTAAAAATCACCTACCGTAGGGTGACAGCCATCTTGCCCTTACTCATCATTTTGAAATTCTTTGTTTTGAGAGAGTATCACATGAACCCAAGGGTACCTCTACTGCCAGAGAAAGGGGCTATTCTAAATATGGAGTATTTTAATAAATAAGTATTCATCTGTTCTCACCAAAGGGAGAAATTGACCCCATATATTGCGGCTATTTATGGCTGACTGGGTGCTTCTGTGACTAGTTTGATCAGGTTATGCAGTTCTAAGAGTGGTAGCTCCTACAGAATAGATCCTTGCCCTCGTGAATCTTATATTCTAGGAGTAGCAGGACAAAAGCCACATCTTGTAACCCCCATGGGGGCCCCTGGTGACTCTGAAGGTAAGTGTTCTGTCCAGGTCTCCAGACACACAGCTTGGTGGGCAGCAGCTTTTTGTGAGTAACCACTTGGAAAAGGCACCCCTTCCTCTATCTGGATGGGCTCATGTCTTGGCAAGTGCCAGTGAGAGAGTGATTCGAGTTACAACCCCTCTTGCATACTACATGACAGCAAATAGCTTTGATTATTCTGTTCGAGGTTCCAGTTGCTTGCCCACTTACAGATGTGTCTCTCCCCTACATCCCCACCATTACCAAATTCTGTCAGCTCTGCCTTCAAAATACTCCCTTTGTGCCTCTTTTACAGTGACCCAAGCAGCCATCTTTTGTGTGGACCACTGTGACAACCTCCTTCCTGGCCATTCACTTTCCCTTATCTGTACATCAGAGAGCAACCAGGATGGTCTTCCTTGACAGATTTGATCATGGCATTCCCTTGCTTAAAAAATCCTTTAGTGGTTCCTCTTAATCATAAAATACAATCTGCATTCCATAGAAGAGCCTACATGGAAGTGCTCGCCTTCTCCTCAGCCTTTCTTTTTCTCTGCTCCTGGCAGGCTTTCCTTTCAGCTTTTCAGATGGGGGGCACCTGGCTGGTTCTGCATGCAACTCTTGATCTTAGGGTCGTGAGTTCGAGCCCCATGTTGGGCACAGTGGTTACTAAAGGAGGGGAGCAAATAAGCTCAGGTGAAAAAGCCCCTGCCCATTCTAGGACCTCCCTCTCCCCAACTTTGATCTACTGTCTTGGTTCCAGCTTAAATGTCACTTCTTCGGAGATCTCTTCCTAAACCCCTCAATCTCATAATCAGTCACATCATTTATCTTCATGGTGCTCATCTCATATTGTGATTATGTATTTCTGTGGTAATTTCATTCCATCTCTGTTAGACTATAAGTCTGCTCCAGCAGGGCAGGAGCTACATGTGATTTGTTCATTCTATCTTGAGAGCCCAGCACAGAGCCTAGCTCACAGCAGACAGTACACATTTGTTAAATGAAGAATGTTTCCTTCAGATTTTGTAGTCCTGGGGAACAGGGACCCAGATGATTACCTCTCAGCTGCTGTCTCTGGTTTTCCTGGTCTTGTGTATGCTCCAAGACTGTAGGTTCATTTTTTTTTTTTTAAAGATTTTGTTTATTTATTTGACAGACAGAGATCACAAGTAGGCAGAAAGGCAGGCAGAGAGAGAGGAGGAAGCAGGCTCCCCGCCGAGCAGGGAGCCCGATGCGGGGCGGCTCGATCCCAGGACTCTGGGATCATGACCTGAGCTGAAGGCAGAGGCTTTAACCCACTGAGCCACCCAGGCGCCCCATGTAGGTTCATTTTAATATGAGAGTAAAATCCGTTGAGGAATGTCCTTCTGTTGCAGAAACATGAAATGCTTGTCAAAGCCTAGTCTCAAGGGTTTGGGTCCTTCTCTATGGCCATGTTCCTTTCCTTTTGCATAGGAGAGGTGACTGGATCACTTAGAGGGGACCTATATTCATAAATGAAGATTTTTCACTGGTTGTATCTTTTTAATTTTAATTCCAGTGTAAACCTAGTGCTGCATGAGTTTCAGGTGTATGATATAGTGTCCAACAATTCTATATATTATTCAGTGCTCATCAAGACAAGTGCACTCTTGGGGTGCATGGCTGTCTCAGTCTGGAGAGCATGTGACCTTGATCTCAGGATTGTAAGTTCAAGCCCCACATTGGGTACAGAAATTACTTAAAAAATAAAAAAAAAAAAAAACGCATTCTTAACCCCACCCCCTTACCCATTTTACCCATCTCTCCACTCTCAATTTGTTCATATAGTTAAGAGTCTGTTTTTTGGTTTGCCACTTTTTTC